CATACTTATTTTTCATTTTGTGAATATTGAAATACACATAATTAATTGTCGTTGGGTCGAAAAGAACGAAATTTGACGAGAATCATGAATTTGAAAGTAATGTATAATTATTTGACATCAGAATGAATCAAACAAAATTACCAAATCATCAATTATAACCTATAAAAAATCGTGATTTTTTAAGTAGACACAACTATTTGTTATTGGGTTGAATGAATGATCATGGACAAAAATCATGGATTATATAGTGCATGAAAGTTGTGATATTAAAGTTCGCATAATTAATTGCTATTGGGTCGAAACAAACAATAGTGGACAAAATCATGGACTATAGCTCATGAAAATCACAAAGTTCGAAGTGCACAAACTTTTTTGCCATTAGTCGAAGAACAAAAATTAAAATAGACAAAAATTATGAGTTATATAGCCCATGAAAATCATGATTTTTAATATAAAATTTTAATTATCATTGGTCGAAACCAACAAAAACAGTCTAAAACCATGGGTTTTAACCCCTGAAAATTATGAATTTTTTAGTACGCATGATTAAATGCATGGGGTCAAAACGAACAGAAATGAGCAAATATCATGAATTATAACCCATTAAATAACTGATTTTGAAATAAGCTTACTTAATTGTCATTGGGTCGAAACAAACTAAAATCGTTGGGTTAACCAATAAAAATCGTGAATTTTGAAGCATGCATACCTATTTGTCAATGGGATAAAATGAATGAAAAATGACAAAAATTGTGAGTTTTTAGCCCATAAAAATCACAAATTTTTAAGTGCGCATAATTATTTGTCATTAGGTTGAAACAAATAAAAATGTGGGTTGTAGCCCATGACAATTACAAATTTTGAAGTATGCGCCTAATTTCCTTCATTTTCACCCATGAAAATTATGAATTTTGAAGTATACACCTAATTTGTTTTAACCCATGAAAATTAACAAAAATCGTGGGTTTTAACGCATAAAAATGGTAAATTTTGAAATACACATAATTGTTTCACTAGGTCAATAAAAAAGACAATTTATGGGTTATAACCCATGAAATTTGTGAATTTGTAGTATATGCCTAATTTTACTCAGTTACCCATGAAAATCACAAATTATTAATTTTCATTCATATTAACCGAATGAGAAATAAGTATCAAAATTCACAGATTTCATAGGTTATAGTCCATGATTTACTTTGTTTCGACCCAATTGCAATTAAGTAAGCATATTTCCTATGTTGCATGGATACTAGTGCCGGTACTAATATGGGCGCGGATATGGGACACGATAAAATTGTAAAAGGTAGGATACGAAGACATAGTCATATGCATATATATTAAAATTAATAATCTATATGAGATTAATATTGTTTTTCATCCACATGTTATGAGAACTAAAATCCCTAAAACATTTTTTTATCGAGTAGATTATAAATTGAAAAATCGCTCGCTTTTTCACTAGATACCCAAACGACCCTTTCAAATCATGCTTATGAACTAGGTATGCGCTAAAACAACCCCCTCCCAAGTCCAACGAGTTACAAAATTTTGAGGTGATGTGTACTGTATACGTCCAAGAAGTGTATCACAAACTTTTTAAACTAAAATCTAAAATGTGTTATATAATTAAGTACATGTTTGAGTAAATTTACCTATATATTCAAGAAGTATCCAAGGAGTGTCAGACATGGACATGAATAACCACCAGGCACTTATACGGAAGCCTAAATGAAGTGTCTGTGTAACATAGCACATTTCAGAATTTGTGATTTCAGAGATTGACATTTGCTCATTTTTGTTCATTTCAACCCAATACAATTAATCGTGCGTACCAAAAAGTTCACAATTTTTAGGGGTTAAAATCCATGATTTTAGACTATTTTCATGGTTTCGACTAGGGCTGGGCATATTCGGTTCGGTTCGGTTTTATGCCCAATCCGCATCCAATCCGAATTTTTCGGATTCTCAAAACTCTCATCCAGATCCAGATTTTTTCCCCTTCATCCGAATATTCGGCCCAACCGAAATTCGGTTCGGTTTCGGTTTTGAATTTGCAAAGAGTTCTATCCAAAGACTTCTGTTGTGAATTTGCAAGCTGGGCATTGTCCTCATGATGAGGTTCCTGAGCTCGCCAACAAAGCTTTATTAGACTGGTTATCATCTTTAGAATAAAGTTTTGAGTTGATATAATTACGCAGAGAACTGATGTTTTAAAGATGTTGTTCATATAATACAGCATGCTTATCTCTTGTAAGTATCATGTACATAACACATTTTGTGATTGATTTGAATCTTATGTAATTCTCAAGATCTTTTCTGCTAAATTTTTTAACAAAAGTTTAAGTTTATTTAATTACACGGGGGAGTGATGTTTTGTATGATATTATTCATATAATGTAGCGTATGCATCTTTTGTAAGTGCATCATGTGAATAACAAATTTTCTGGATTGATTTGAATCTTTACTTAGTTCTCAAGGATATTTTTCTGTGATATTGTTGTACTCGTTGCTTAAAACTGCTCCTTGCGCTGTTTGAATCTATTGGATGATAACAGGAAAAGTTTTGAGGTATAAGTTTAGTCTCTAAACCGTCCAACAGAATTCGGGTCGGGTTTTTTTGGGCGGTTCAAGGGTTCAAACCGGATCCAAACCGATTTAATTTGGTTCGGACGGTTTAGAGACTTCTTCTCATCCATTTAATTCGGTTCGGTTAATCGGTCCGTTTTTTCGAGCGGTTTTTTCGATTGAACCAGTTTTTTTCGGTTTTTGCCCACCCCTAGTTTCGACCAATGACTATTGAATTTTCTTTCATAAAAAATCATGATTTTCATGGGCTATAACCCATAATTTTTGACAATTTTTATTTTTTGACCCATGGCAAAAAAATATGTGCACTTCAAAATTCATGAACTTCATAGGCTAGTCCATGGTTTTGTCCACTATTGTTTGTTTCGATCCAATAGTAATTAATTATGCGAACTTTAATATTTCACAATTCCATGCACTATAATTCATATTTTTGTCTATTACCATTCATTCAACCCAATAACAATTAATTATGACTACTTAAAAATTCGTGATTTTGATTGGCTATTATCTACGATTTTGGTAATTTTTGTTTGTTTCCTTCCAATATCAAGTAATTCTACATCCTTTCAAATTCACGATTTTCATGGGTTATAATCCACAATTTTTTTCAAATTTCACTCGTTTCGACTAAATAACAATTAATTATGAGTACTTATAAATCCGTAATTTTCATGGGCTATAGCCTATAACCCACTATTTTTGTTAATTTTTATTCTTCGACACAATGAAAATAAGTATGTGCACTTTAAAATTCATGCTTTTCATAGACTATACTCCATGATTTTTATCCATTATCATTTATTCCACTCAGTGGCAATTAATTATTATCAATGTTTGAAAAAACTTTTTTGAGACTCACTTCGCAACTTTTTGAAGGAAAATGCTTCGGAACTCAAGAGTGAAGCTATTTATCCCTTGAAGCTTACACCTTATTGCTTAAAGCATAATTGAGTGTGCACTTCACGCTTTGTAAAGCACTTTTCTTTTGAAGCACACGCATCAGACAAGATAGGAGGATAGAAAAGAATTTGTCTAACATTATAATGCCCCTACGTATTTTCAATATGACCACGTGAGTGTAAAAATAAAATATATATTTTATGTAGTAGCTTAGTTTATTATGATTCATTTCTACCACTTCACATATTTAATTCTTATTTACAAATCAAGACATGAATATATATTTGCAAATTATTGTACCACTATATATTATATATTCATAATTTTACAAATTTAAAATTAAAATACTTAAGCTCATGAAGCTTATGCCTCATGCTTTGAAGCTTAAGCCTCGCTTCATCAAAGGGTTAACACTTCGCCTCGTGCTGCCGCCTTTTTAAACATTGACTATGACTATTCCAATGTTCATGATTTTGAGGAGTTATAACCCATGATTTTGGCAATTTTTTCCAATTTTGTTTCGTTGCCCCTATAGAAATTAAGTATGTGTACCTTAAAATTAACAATTTTCGTGGACTTTAACCCTAAAAATTTGTCCATCTTTATTTCTTTCAACACAATAGCAATTAATTGGCACTTCGAAATTCACAAAACCCACAAGTTTTGCTACTTTTCGTTTGATTTGACTCATGATAAATAAGGATGCATACTTCAAGTTTCACTATTTTCTTAGGTTATAACATGTGATATTTGCCTGTTTTCGTTCGTTTTTACCTAATGATAATCATGCATACTTCCAAATTCATGATTTTCACAAGCTTATAGCCCACAATTTTTGTTTGTTTTGATCCAATGGCAGCTAATTATGTGCACTTCAAAATTCGCGATTTTCAAGGGCTATTACCCAAGATCTTCAAAAATCCGCGAACTTCATGGGTTATAACCATAATTTTTGATATTTTTGCTCATTTCAACCCAATGATAACCGTGTTCCTTTTGACCCATGAGATTTATCATTATTATTGTAATTATTACAAACCAGCCTATCGTGAGATACTTCAACAAACTATATATTAGATTATTAGATGAGCTAATGCACCTTCAATCACTAGAAGCAAAAAAACTTCTCCGTGGACGAAATTCAGTGCGCCTATCTATAAGGTTGCTAACATCATCATTCAGCGATAAATTTAATCAACTATGTGAAAAAGTTTGACGAAAGAAATATGTGTTATAAACTCTGCAAAATATTAATGAGGTAACATATGAATATATGCTAATATGCATTAAGTATTGATGAATCCTTCTGCGTAGACATTCTTGTATCTCATGCATCATAAACAAATGGAAGGATACATAGCAAGGGGCATGGAGTAAGCAACCAACTTGAAACCAAAATCAGCATGCAATATTAAATCAACTTAAACGACCACTAAATTGTTACAAGCACGTACATTTTTTGTTTCCATCAAGGAATAAAACTGGGAAAAAATGACGGGACTTGTTCAAACCTGGGAAACTTGGTGCCATCTTCTTGATTCCCCAAAATACCGCAAAATAAAGTTCAAATCTTGAACTTGCAATATTCCATCCGCACTGCATATACGCGATCAAAATGCACGAGAAAGAGATTAATCAAATTGGTAATATTTTAACATCGCTTCAACTGGTTTCGAGCTCCAAAAAGCTAAGGAATTGAGAGAACGAACCTCGAGAGAGCGGAACTCAAATCGGAGGCTGATTTGACTCGAGCAATGGCAGCCTGCTTCGCATCTGCAACAAATATTGGAGAGGTTTGGGGTTTATCTAGGGCTTTGGAACAATTAACAAAGAAAAGACCGCTTCTTTGGAGTTTTGCGTCATTTTTAGGGTTTTTGCTGCTGATGAGGGGAGGGGTAAGGGAGGATTGAGAGAGTATCCAGAGACACTGCATCATCCACTCTCTCTTTCGAGCAAAAAGCTTCGTTCTTTCGCGATGATATCTGCTGTTGGCTGAAAAATCTTCTGGCGACAGATAATGGGTTTCGTTCGCCATTTATTAAAACCCGACCCGATCTTGAAGAAAAATATTTTTATTCTAGGGTTATTTGCGTGTATATATATATATAACACTTAGATCATCGTTATTTGTAAAAATACGCAAATACCCCAAATATCTCTGCAAAATTGCCCCTCAAATAATCAACTTTGTCAAAAAAAAATTTACCTCTAAAATAAAGAAATCATCAACTTGGTGCTAGAAATTTAATCATTTTATTGATAATTATTACGTTGTAATAACAAATTAGATTATCAATGTTTATGATTAATTGTTGGGTTATTTGCATATACACCCCTTACATCATTAATTTTTACAAAAATGCCCTCTGAATATCAGTATTTGCAAAACTAGCCCTCAAGCCATCAATTTCGGAAAGAATTACCATCAAAATAATTAATCATCAATTTTGATAAGCTAATTTGTAATTGCAAAGTAAAATTATCAAGAAAATAGTCAATTTTTACCAGGAAGTTGATAATTTGTTAATCTTAGGGATGTTTTTTGCCCCGAAGTTACTGATTCGAGGGGTACTTTTGCAAGCACTGGGATTTGATGGTATTTTTAAAAATACCCATGATCAAGGGGTATATATGTAAATAGCACAATAAAAATTTGAAATAGACAATGAGGCTTTTCTCCGGGAGGGAATAGGTCTATAGCCCATGTTATTATGAGGTTGAAACGATAAGAGTATAGAAAATGTTTACATGTATATTAGCCTAGCATTCAGAGATGCAGAAAGTTACATCTCTTATCAAAATGGGTCAACCAACCAGGTCAATTTTTAAATAATTTTAATACTTAAACTCAGAACTATGAGAGTCATATTGGAACCTTCCAACCATCCGAGTCACCCGCGATAGGGGATAACAGATTTGATCATCAATATAAACGATATTATGTGTATTTTCATAGTTATACATAGAATAAATAGTTTTTTGCATATGTACCCTTAAATCATGGGTATTTATAGCATACTTAAACTCAGAACTATGAGAGTCATATTGGAACCTTCCAACCATCCGAGTCACCCGCGATAGGGGATAACAGATTTGATCATCAATATAAACGATATTATGTGTATTTTCATAGTTATACATAGAATAAATAGTTTTTTGCATATGTACCCTTAAATCATGGGTATTTATAG